ATGAAGTCCCAGTAGGATTATCTCAAAAAGTAGTCAAAATGGAAATCTGAGAATTTGTATACGGGGGTTTATCAAAAAAATCTATTCAATGAAAATAGTGTCAACTTTCTAGCACTTCCGGTTATACCGGAAGTCATTATCAACTCTTATTTCAAATGGAATACTATGTATATTTTTGCATTTTTTAATTCTACGCTAAAATCTACACTAATTTCATATTTCATGCAAGTGATTTTTGAAAACAGAATAACTCCGACATTTAGCTTTATTTATTAATGAAATTTGGCATGGATAATTTAAAAGCAATGGGGTTCAACCAGTTTAAGTCAAACTTGCAAAAATTTATACAGAGTGTTTAAGAACGTGTGACGATGAAGTTGAATTTACTCAAATATTTCAAACAGTACCTACACCCTGTATATTATTACATTAATAGATGCACAATCAAATTTACTTTAAAATGATACTATAGTTATACCCAAAGTTGACAGTTCCTGTGTAAATTGGAAATTATTGATTTCAACACAGAAAAACGTCCGATGGATTTGATGCACTAAAGAATTGAATAATAAACGGTGTCTGATTAATGTATATTAAATTAAAAAGGGCGCTGCTTTAAATAAACCCATCATACTCGTAGATTTTTTTGTCCCAAATAAGCAAGTTTTTTTTCTTTACTAAATTTCATCGTTCCACATAAAGATACTCCGAGATATCTTGAGAACGTGTTTTTTTAATTCAACATCTTGTACAAACAAAACGAAGCATTCGTGGAACCTTTTTTTTATTTTGACTATTTAAATTCAAATTTTTAGTGTAAACAATTAATTCTGAAACATAACTTACAAATATATAATAAACATTTTTACATAGGTACTTTATAGAACTTCTACAACACGTGATAATATATACATCAATTTAAAGTCTACAACAAGACATTTTACAAGTAATTATTTTAAAATATGCCTTAATTACAACTTTACAACCACAAAATTCTAATAAAAATATCAGTAAAACCAAATAACAAATATATACATCATGTTTACGCAACGTGTTATGGCTTATTTAATGTCGAATTTGACCATTCTGATAACCCCAGTGTTACGAAATTCAAATCATTAACACATATTATTTGGTGTTGTGAAAAAATTGAATGTGAAACTATTATTTATAATTTTGCCTAATATGTTTTTAAAATCAATATTATTATTTCCTGTATATGTATTTTTATCTCTCCGTTGCTTTACTAGAACTTAATACATATACATATTTGATTTTACAAATGAGCCCTATATGTTTACAAATTTAATGCAAAAAGGATATGTTAAGTTTGTAACTATATCAGCGTGTAAGTTATGGGCAATTAGTGACTCAATTAAAGAAAACATAATTTTTGGATAAATCATTTAATTATGAGCAATCGCTGTTTCCTGACATTTTTTCGTATCTGTTACCGTAACGCTGCAAACAATTTTTTTTTGTTTTATTATCCCATGTTTAATGTAAGAACATTTCGTTTCTGAGGAAAAATGCAAAACATGCTCGACTCCTCCCTTTGGAATCTCTTACCTGTTCTGAGATCACAATAAGATGGTAACAAGTTAATATAGATTGCAAACGTGTACAGTACAATAATTACTGGTACCTAATTAACTTTATATAAACAAAAAAATTATCTGGAGTTATTGTCCTAGAAATGTTTCAAATTCGTTTCGTTAATTCTTCGCGAGTATACACTGGCGCAGCGTAAACTTCATTTTTGAACTCCAAACACAAAAGTTGAGGGGTGTGAGATCTGGATAACGCGGTGGCCATGCTACAGGCCCATCTCGTTTTATGGCCCTAAAACATTATTTTCCACGTACGTTCTCTCTAAAATTTTGTTGAAAGTTGCGCTTACGTTTGGCGTAGGGATTTTCTGTGGCCCACTTATGCCAATTATGAAAGTTTACTGCCTTTAAAGTAACACGAGTCATCTGTCATATATATTTTAATTTCTTAAGGACCTGAAAATTAAACGATGTTCTGGATCATGTGGATGTGTAGCACAGGTTGGATATGAGAAGCTTTGTAATGATGTATCTTTATTGTCTTCCAGATGGTAATGGCGAGTGCTTAAGGTTGTTGCTCACTAGAGCGCGCCGCACGGAAGCGGACGGCATGCGGCAGCGCGCTGAAGAGCAGTTTTTATATTACACAGCTTTAAATACAGATGCGTTCACTATACCGCAGAGCAGCGCTCCGCAGCGGCGATCCGGTCTCGAAATCTGAGGAATATTTCCGCGCTGCGGTACGCTGCCGTTCAGTCCGTTTCCGATTAGTGGGCGATAGCAAGCGATAAAAATAAGCAATGTTCATACGATTATGGACGAATATACCCTAAAAAAAACTAAGTCTGGTTGATATGAATATGTATTAGTATGTTACACGTATAGACCTAGTACCCGTATTTCTGGCTTTTGTCCATCATCCATGTACCACGTGTGCAAAATTGGGTTTAAAAATATTTTGAAAACTCGGTCATATGAAAGTAAAAACTTTTTTTTATGATGACTTTCACACCTTGTACCTTTTTCTATTAAAGGTTTTCGGATATTTGTTTATATGAAACTTTTTGCTTAAAATTAATTTTTCTCTTAGCTGTTTCATTTAAAGCTCTTAAAACGGGGACACCCTGTATAGTTGATATACGTAATTTAGTTTGTGTAGGTATGTGTTACATTTTATAGATTGTTCATTTTTTTTACATTCTAGTATACCTAGTTATTTTTATAATAAAAATATTATATANCGGTCGCATTGTGCGAGGTCAGGTTTTACAGTGGACCAGTTTCCAGTGCCGTGCAGAAGTGTATTTTTAAATCAATTTCGAACTGACCTTTTTGATTTTTTCTTTACAAAATTGTATTTGTAAGGGTCCCCTGTACACCCAGAATTTTTTTTTTGGATAAATTCTGAATCACCCTGTATAAACAAAAAAATTATCTGGAGTCCTAGAAATGTTTCGAATTCGTTTTCTTAATTCTTTGCGAGTATTCACTGGCATAGCTTAAACTTCATTTTTGATGTAACTCCAAACACAGAAGTTGAGGGGCGTGAGATCTGGACATCGCGGTGGCCATGCTACAGGTCCACCTCGTCTTATCTATCTATTCTTGTAATTTGTATTAAGGCCATACCCTCACACGTCCAAATAATGTGCAGGTCAACCATCTAATTAAAAATACATTAGGAAGGCCGTCAAAAACGTCAAAAATGGCCCTAAAACATTATTTTCTACATACGCTCTCTCTAAAATATTCTTGAAAGTTGAGCTTACGTTTGGCGTAGGGATTTTGTGTGGCTCACCTATAGCAATTATGAAAGTTTAGGTACTGCCCTTAAAATAACACGAGTCATCTGTCCATAATCTTTTCTCTCAGGATTTTTTAATTTTTTAAGGAGCCATCTGCAGAAAGTTAAACGACGTTCTGAATCTTGTGGATGTAAGTGTAGCACAAACTGGATATGAATGGCTTTGTAATGATGTACACTGAAAGAAATCCACCAAGTGAGGGGCGCTAAGATATTTTAGCTACAGTAGGTAAAATTTTTGCTGTCATAGAAAAAAAATCATGCTGCCACAAGTAAGTACAAGTAAGTACAACATTTTTAGTTGCATTGCATGGTTCACGAAGAGTGAGGAGATCCAACAACACCGAAAAATAGTAAATACGGAGTTACTCACTTGGAGTTAATGAGTTGACTTTATTAGGGTTAAAGAGTTTACTCGCTTGGGGTTAATGAGTCGACTCGCTTGTGGTTAATGAGTTGACTTGCTTGAGGTAGCAAAGAGATTATAGCAAAACTGTCTACTTAGTGCAAGTGAGTTCCTCCCAGAACAACAGCTTCTCTTGTGGTAAGAAGGCAACTCACTTGGCGCCTATTTAATGCAGATATTTTGCTACGGTCAATGGATATTTACTAACCGTAGCGAAGAATTTCTCTCAGTGTACCTTTATTGTCTTCCAGATTGTAGTTGCGAGTGCTTAATCTTCATCAAAAACATTTACACGTGCCTATCACACCTGATGTCTACTTGTCTTCGAGCTCCATATTTTTGATTTCTGCCAACTTTCGTCCAAAAATAATATGTTGTTTAATTTTTTCTTAGGCCGTAACAATTCTTTTCTTGCTGAATTGCATTAGTCCATCATCCATGTACCGTGTGTGCAAAAATATTTTGAAAACTCGGTCATATAAAAATAAACACTTTTTTTTATGATGACTTTCACACCATGTACCTTTCTTTATTAAGTGTTTCCGGATATTTGTTTGTATGAAACTCTTTGCTTAAAATTAATTTTTATCCGGTTTAATTTAAAGCTATTAAAACGGGGACACCCTGTATAGTTTATACACGTAATTTAGTTTGTATATGCGTTACATTTTATAGATTGTTAATTTTTTACATTCTAGTAAAATTATTTTTTTAATGAAAATATGATATAAACATCAAGTTTGTGTTTAAATATTGAAATAATCCCTAAACACACATTATATGTAAATTTTTATCGCTGCTTCAAATAGAAATATGCATTTTAGGGAAAATAATAAAACTTTATTATTATCCAATTTAAATATTGTAGGAATACAGGGAAGGTGCATTGGAGTTACACAAAAATATTTAAAAAATACAAAAATATCACAATTTACAAACATTCTGCAAAAGTACTAAAATAATGCTTTACACCAATAAAATTGTAAATTATACCGATTACATGTTTTTTTTTGAAATTGCTAATGAAATAGTGGGTAATAAATTACGTATTATTTTACAAACAGAATTACGAAAAAAATATTTTCAATGTGGACAATCTCCATCAGTTTATACAAAATATAATATCGCGTGAACAAGTGGCCGCTAAAAACAACAATAATTTTTTGCATCAGAAAACCACGAAAATGATTCGACTACACTCCGCTAAGCCAGCGTCGAGCAAGTGCAAACCCATTGTTAATGCGGCCGGGCCCGACTCTGAGCCAGCGCGCAGGATTTTACGAAAATCAAGTCAGTCGCGCGCCAACAATGATGGTGTGAAGTTAGTGTCGCTCCCCCTCAGAAAAACACGCGTCTCCCAGTGAACAACGAAACTTCAAACAGTAAAAAAACAATCCCTGTACATAGTTTTTATTTATTCATCAATACTAACTTAATTTACGTAAGTTTTGTGATCCGTAACTTATTTTTTACAAAGTATTTAGAAAAACTGTGATTGTTTTAAGTGTTATATATAGTGAATTTTAAGTGTTTTTTTGCGCCTTGGAGGTATTGATATGTGATTTTGGTTGCTTGTGCCAAAATGGTTGATAACAGTTGCGTTATCGAAGGGACAGTGAAATTCAGAGACGGGAAGAAGGTAAAAAACTTTATACTACTTTTTTGACATTCAAATTTCAACACTGCTGATAAAATTTTAAAATATACGGAATATATAACAAATTACAAATAATTATTTACATATACACTATTTTGTGAAATGCTTTGAACTATGAAATACAGTACAAACTTTACCTGTAGGTTCACTGAGGCAGGTAAAAAGTACCTATATGTTTCGCCTTATCTTATCATTTCATGTTTCTACGTGTGGTGAAAAAAGTTATCACTAGTTGACTATGATGGCTGATAGTCTGTCTCTTTTGACGTGTACTCAATTTGCGTAGTGTGTTTCTTTGTTGATCTAATAATGAATAGGATTTGATTTTTCCAAATTTTATCTATTTACATTTATAAAATTCAAGTATTTTTCACACTGTATAGATTTTTCACATTTCAAACAAATGAAATTCATGGTAAACCTTTTTCTGTCCTACCAAAAATCGAATTGATAAAGTTACAAGAGAAATGTGACTACTTACAAACTTTTTGTGTGACAAAATGTGGCCTGGTACTTTTTTTATTTATGATCAGTGATTATCACATTTTGAAATTTTGCATTTGAAACTGAAATTTTCTGCAAATGTAGATGACCAATTCGACTACTTATTTATTAAATTTACATCCTGTACTTTCATTGTTTATATTTAAATTGAAGAAAGATTGTTAAAGGAAACATAATAATAACATAACATTTAATAAATTTGTAGGGTGTTTTTGAGGTTTGTTTCTTAACTTCTGGAAGTTGTTCTTTATGTCACTAAAAACCTTAATCAGTCAAGAGTTTAAAACCACTAGTTTTTGAGATATTAGGTGCTGATTTTTTAAAAAATATCGCACTTTTTCGCGCTTCAAGCTTCGTTACTTGATGTAGATTAATGGAACTGTAGATAATGATGAACTAATTAGAAGTAAAGTTGTTCTAATCTTTAAAAAAATATTTCGAAAACGACCTATTTTTGAAATAAAGTGGAATACCTTTCTTTAGAAATAACATTACGAATTAATTGCATTTGTTCATTTTTTAAAACATTCCTTTGCGTCGAAATTCTAAAGTTCTTAGTGATTACCTCCGCTATTGGTGAAATTGTACATCAACTTAATAATTTTTCCCTTTAATTAAATAAATGATTAGATAGGTTTCATCTACCTATATCAAAAATCCTTAGAGATATTTGAACGATATGGCAGGGTCGGTCACATAAAATTCTACTTTCCTTATAGCTTTCACCTTTCTATCAAGAAAAAAAAACAGTAAACACCAATGTTTTAGAAAATTTTCTTGCAATTTTCAAGAAATATTGAAAAATCAAAAGATTGCTGCACTTCGAAGATATACTTAGTCCAAATATTTGTTTTTTTTATGGAACACCTTGTTGTTTGGATTTTTCTTTTTTTCTATACATAGATGTCATATATTTGCTTTGATAGTTTGCGCAATATTTTGGTTTATTTACTGATCCTGCACATAGTCAATATTGCCATGAAATGACTATATTAGTCTGTTTTCTGCCGTTTTATTTATTAAGCAAACCGTTAAATTTTCTATGAAGTAACAATAACTTTTTAAAAAATGTATTTTACAAAAACCGTTTATCCTGTTCTATACAAGGGACATATGTATACCTACCCACTTCATTAATAGTATTAAGTACTGTCCACCATTTTCTCCATTACATCTTGTAAATTTTTCGGTATTTCTTTGTATTCCTTTTTTTTCAGCATTTCTCATAGAAAGAACTACATGAAGGTCATATTAAGACTTGCAAATAATAAAATTCTCCCAGCATAAGAAAAATTTATTTAAAAAATGTCATATGTTTAGAAATCAACCGAGTTATTACGAAACAACTTTTACAATATAGTATTTTTTTCTTACTAAAATATTTAAAGGTCTGTTTAGTTTTAATAGTGGAAAAACATAAATATGCATTGGTTTTGACATTATGGACAGTCAGTACCTAAATAAACCAACATATTTGTGCTGTCAAGGTATATATGTGATAAGTGCATATTATTTTAATTAAAAAACGAAGGAATTAAAAAAGCAAGAAATGCTCAGGCTGTTCTTCGAAACAGTCAATTGTTTTTTTAAGTTTCTTGAAAATCACAAGAAAATTTCCTAAAACTTTGGTATTTACCAGTTTTGCCTAGATAGAAGGGCAAAGAGATAGGAGTTATGTGAATTACCCGGTACATATTATTTAAAATTGGCATACCCTTTATCTAGAAAATCAGTGGTTTTATACTTTGGATCCGTTAAGGCTCGTTGGTCAATGGTGAACAATGTTTGTGTTTGCATATGACATTTTGTGAAACACTGGCTGAAAAGTATCTGATGTAATAATTTTGGTGCAAGATTCTTAACTTTGTGAATATTTCTAAGCATTGCGTCATATTGTTTCTTCATAATTTAGAAATATTAAAGGTGTTGCATAAACAACATTATTTTAATGAATAATAATCATTTAGTTATTGTTAGTAATAAGTTTATTTTTCGATTAAATTCGCAAAAAAAAACATAAAGATCAATTGTGTGAAGTACAACATTGTACAACAAATTATGTACATCACGTATCTCTTTCTAATACCTAGCTATTTAAGCAATACCTAAGTATTCATTAATGAAAGCAAGTATTTTGGTGTACAAATTTTGCTCAGCGGTTTGCTCTCGGCTTATAGTATAATTATTTCATATACGAGAACGGTTACAAAATATTAGATTCCAAGCTATAATCAATAAGCCAAACGCCACAAACTATTGTTGACTGCAATCTGTTTATCGAGCAGAGATCTCCATTGGGTGTGTGTAGATTAGATAAAGATAAATAGGCGAACAAATAGGAAGGTAAAACAAGATCCGTTAGACTTATATTATCACACAAAGACTCGTACCTGCGTATGCTGAGCTGTGCTGTCGAGTACTATTCTATTACCTAAATTTCTTAGAAATCTCAAACATAACACTTTATTTGCATTTCGGCTGACTTTAAAAGTTCAAGGCTGCACTCCGATAGTGTAAAAACCTTATTTAAAAACTGGTTTTTAAACGTTCTCGCCGTTATAAAAACGCACTTCATAGTATATAACAAATGCAATACAATCTGAATTAATGTTGCGTAAAGTCACACAACATAAATATGTTCCTAAACAATTCTTATTATTTTTTGTCTACTTCAGCAAACATCTACACTATAATTAATAAAAGATGCATTACTTTTCGAAATTTGTCAAAAAATATACAGGGTGTCGGCAAATTTCACCGACAACGTTTGACTGCATATTCACGACGATAAATAAATACGATCTAGGAAAAAGTTAAATAAAAAAATTTTGGTTTTTGAGTTACAGGCCTTCAGTCGTCAAAAATAAAATTAATTTAATTAATAACTTCATAACCCTTTTACCGATCGCGTTAAAATTTGGCACATTTATTTGGACTATTATGGCGAATTATTTCTTAAAGCATTAGTCAAATCGATATACTGGGTGATAGTTTTTTCCGGTTACCTCTCCCTTTTAGCGAACAAAACTGTTACAGCGCTCGTATTTTTTAAAATGGGAATCAACATCGAAAACGTCATTTTATTTAAGAAAAATATTGTCTCTTGAGAAAATCGCCTACAGAAAGCCATTCCTGAGAAGAATGACATTATTTGCAGGTCTGTACCCTTCGGTTTGCGTAGCAGTGTCACGAATTTAAAAGTTTAATCTCAGTAGGCGATGAAAACAAGATGTTGATTGCTATGGCTATCAGGTAATGTGATTAATGTTTCTTTAGGATTATCGTCACTCCACACATGAAAATTATGAAGTGTCCGCAGTGTATCAAGACAATTAAATGATGTAAAACTAATGTTCACAAAACTTTATGCAGAAGATAATAATTTGCTTCAAAAATTGTTTTGTACCGACCAATCTTGTTGTACAGTGTTGTGGAGTGATGAGAATCCTGAAGAAACACGACAATAATGACATTGCATAATAGCCACAGCAATCGACATGTTTTCATCGCCTACTGAACTCAAAGTATTAAATCCGTGACATTGCAACGCAAACCGAAACATACAGACCTGCAAATAATGCCATTTTTCTCAAGAATGGCTCTCTGTAGGCAATTTTCTCAAGGGTCAATTTTTTTTTAAATAGAACGACCTTTTCAATGTTGCTGGCCGTTTTAAAAAAATATGACCACAGTAAAAGTTTTGACCGCTTAAAGAGAGATGTAACCGGAGAAAACTATGACCCATCGATTCGACTAAAACTTTAAGAAATAATACGCCATAGTAGTCCAAATAAATGTGCCAAATTTGAACGCGATCGGTAAAAGGGTTTAAATTATAGTTTTATTTTTGAAGACTTGTAACTAGGGTTGCCAAATCTCCGGGTTTGACCCGGAGTCTCCGGGTTTTGATGGTACATCTTCGGGCTCCGGGTTAACATGTCATTTCTCCGGATTTTCTGGAAAAATCGTGATTTCTTCTGAAACATTTCTCACATTTTCTGATTCCGTCCTTTTTTTTAGACATCGATGATATCCTCCAGGTCTGTCACAAAATATTTCCTTAATACTTCCGTTTTTTTTAGACATCGATTTCTCCGATAACAATTTGTTTTGTTTCCCAGATTTCCTGAGACTTTTTCACATCAATTATACAAACGGGTCTTATCTCCGAGTCTATCATGAAATAGATCGGTAACCCTACTTGTAACTCAAAAACCAAAAACTTTTTTTTTGTAGATCGTATTTATTTATCGTCGTGAATATGCAGTCAAACGTTGTTGGTGAAATTGGCGGACATCCTGTATAATAAGTATTTTAAAAATTAAATTATAATGATTAAAGAAATAAAGTAGAAAATTCTCGTATCCCCATTTTCAAATTTCAAAAAAGTAAAATTTAGGTATTACAAATTTAATGAACATATAAATTATTTATCAATTACGTTGATTAAATATTAAATTAAATTTTAAAAAAGTTAA